CCGCTGACGAAGAGACGCTTGGAGGTTCGCGGCGAGGTGGAGGCCATGAAGAAGTGAGAGCCGAAAGGGGACATGCTGCAGAGGAGTCATTCCTCCAGCCTCCAGCTCGCTTCGCAGAGGAAAATGCCAACACACACTTGTGAGCTTCTTTCTAGTCTGTGTTTGCAATGTTTGCAAGACGACCATGGCGATTTACAGCTTGCATTTCGCATGTTGTAGATTGTGGAGTGCATGCAGAGGCTCCGCGACGCTTTGCTTACCTGATGCGCTGCAGCTTCAAGAGCTCTTTCTGGAGGTAGGGCTGGGCTCTGCCAAAGGCGAAGCATCTAGGAGGTGGCTATGTCTCATCAATGTTTTTCATCGCATCATGTCGCCCAGGTGCCAGGTTTGGCAACTCTCGATCTCTCTGACTGGGCGGTCTTCGGTGAGCTCCGACAGCGCCGGAGATGCATTTTCGCAAGTATGTGATCCATGCAAGTTAGGTACCTATACAGCTTGATGGGGCTAGCTGCTGATTTGCGTTGCAGCACTTGCAGCCGATAGTTCAATACTGGATCCTCCCGAGGAGAGCTGGCTTCATCCCTTTCGACATTCCCTGTGATCCAAGGTTGGAACTGCGCGGCTGCAACCTGCAGGAGCTGGCTCTCCCGCAGGTGGAGGGAAGGGCACCCAAACATTCCGCTGTTTGCTTCACTCGCTACTCACGGAAGGGTGGTGAGCTCCGGCGCATCACGCTGAGGGCGACGCAGCTCCCAAAGCTGCAGTTTTGGCTAAAGGCTAGGCCGGGCTAGGCGGGTATGAGGAAATCTTCGAGCGAGAGCAACGCACCAGGTACTGGTATCACTTTACAAACCGGGCTTGATGTGCAACTCTTGAACTTGTGGGGAAGCTTTGCAGTGCGACGCATCCGTGTTCAACGAAATCCTCAGAAGCTTGCTGCACTCTTGACGATGACAGTTTGTTTTGCGAGGCGGCTGAGTCTGTCGATGTCCAAGCACCGAACATCTCGCATCTACATATCGGTGGCTGCGCTGGCCTTTCCAGCCGCTGCTTGTTCCCTCAGCTGCATTCGGCACAACTTGAGATCCAGCTCCAGATCTGTCAAGAGCACAGGAAAGCCGGACTTAGGTCTCATCTGCTGGCAGGTTGCCAACAACTGGAACAACTACAGCTGTCCCATTGTTCGTCCGTTGAGTCACTTGAGCTTTCCTCCACGAGTCTCGAGGAGCCTGGGTGAATACGGAGAGAATCCAAATCGATGTCGTCACATGAACTCCCTCAGAGACAGCCTACCCTTTCCCTCTGTCTGCGCGAGACCGCCGCTTCCCCCCATGACGTCCCGAGGAGCTGAAGCTGCGTCTCAGCAGAAGCCATCGCTTGCAGACATTGCGCCTCCGGTGCCCCAGCCTAACGTGCCCAAGATGCATTCCGTGGGCACTGGGCACTTGCTGCGGTTTTTATTCCTTCCTGGCTTCCATAGTGATTGTGGTCCAGTGTTCGTCCTGGCAGAGTCGCTGCAGGCCAGTCTGCAAAAAGTGATTATTCGGCCAAGGTGCATTGCGCTGCCTTTGGCACCGCTTGCTGGTGCAAATCTGCGACGGTTGAGCCTTGAATCTGCAAGGCATGGTAGAGGGAGGGGGACAACTCCTGGATAATTCATGCAGTTCCTTCGAGCTGAAGCTTGGTAAGCCACCCTGGTGTTCGCGATTTCACGTCTGCGTTAGGGGCCTTGTTTGTCAACGGCCCTTACTGCCAGTCGCTGCAATCGTTCCACTACTGTTGCTACCCTCGTTTATGCTCTCTCCCTCAATCGGTGGCCTCATGGAACGCGAATAGAGTGTGTGCGTGTTAGCGAACTGAGGGCTTGCACAAAGATTTGCACTTTCTTGGAAGGCTCACACGCTTGGATCTCAGCTCCTTGCGGTGGCAGGAGCTGCTTGAGCTCAGCCGGGTGCTTGGCATGCTTGGCGTACTGTTCAGTGTTGAGGATTGGGTGCCAAATGCATCGTCCCAAGTTTGTCAGGGATAACAGACAGAACAGATCAAGCCTGCGGAGCTCTGCGAAACAGCAGTCTGAGGCGTAGCAACGTAGTAGGTAGCTGAGTGTCCTTCTAGCAGCTTTGCTTTGCCTGCAAGGCCTGCAGCTTCCACATCTATCAGTGCTTCAGCCACCCGAAGCAGCAAAACCTCTTGCAGGTGCCACGCCAGTTTTTCTGTAGTCAGGCTTGCGGCAACCACGGCTCAGTTTCTTGCTGAGAAATGGAAGGTAGCTCTCCGGAGCTTGACTGCAAGCCGGAACCTGTACAAGTCCTGATCTTTTCCAAGCATCTGACCAAGTTGGATCTGACAGGCCCAGACGATTTCGTTCTGAAACGATGCTAGCTCTTCGCGGACTGCAGGGTTGTGCATGAATTTGGTCAGTGTGGGAGGCTTGCGACATGCGAAGCGCATCGACCTGACGTTGCAGTCCTGGCGTGCTCAAGTTCTATGGCCAAGGCATGCAAGGCTACAAGCAGGCGCCGGCTTGAGCCGCGCTCCCCGGTCGCCCTTGAGCCGAACTTCTGTGCAGCCAGGTTCCCACCCTGCAGCCCTGCGCTTGTGGCTTCCATGCTCTGAGACTCCGCTGCCCCCACAAGGCCGGCTGCTTGCAAAAGAGGGCTATCGCAGGCGGCAGACTTTTGATTTGCAGGCTGCGGGCTTCTGGAGTCGGCAGAAACTGTGGACTGTTCGGGTTGTCATGTCCTGAAACCGGTACCTCGGCAGGCAGTAATCCCAAGCCGGGAAGATGATGCCACTAATGCATGGTTGGAAGTGGGCTGCAGGAAGCTTTGAAGCCGGAAATGTTCCCGAACTTGACCTCCCTCGACGTGGCAGTCGCTGGGCCAACATGCGGTCGTGAAGCAGTTCAGCGCTGGTGGCAACATGAGCCTCAATCATTCCATGATACCCCGCCGTCCGTCAGCTTCAGGACTGCCAGGAATTCGACGACACTGCCTTGATCAGCGTGGCTGGTGCGGCTGTTTACATGATTTTTCATCGATGCACAACACGTTTGCGCGAGGCAGTAGTTATACAAGTTACAAGAGGAGTCTTTTGGCCCAGAGGCTCATAGAACCAAGTCTCGTCAGGTGCCCCGGAACTTCGGCGACTGCGCTGCCCAGGTTGTGCCCGCCTGACCCCCTCCGGCGTTCGGCGCGCAGTGCAGAGGTCGGCGTGCCTCAAGGACTTGTCGGCAGAGCAGAGAATCAACAGCGATGAGGATCATGACCTGCAGTGGCCCCTCATAATAAAGTCGTCGACTCTGCTGCTTCCCACAGGCAAAAAACCATCGACTGCACGGGAGCAGCATGTACCGTTCACATCCTTAGCACGTTCCGCCGAGTATTGTCGAAACCGGAGGAGCTAGAAACAGATGTGGCACCTTGGCAGCTGCAGTGTAGCGTTTCTAGTTGAGTGTGCGCAGATTGGCTGCAGTGACAGCGCGCAGATGGGGTAGCGGGTAGTATGCCTTCCTGTCTGAGGTCTGGTGGCCTCAGCTATCGAATCCTTGGGACATGGTCGCCTTGTGCCTGTGGCTTTCGAGGCGAGTGTACGACTAGTCACCGACCGAGGATATTGAAGGCCTCTGAAAATCCTTCGTATGTCTAGTGACATGCTTGAGGCCGGAGCTCCGCCGGAGATGGCGGCGCCTCCGTCCCACGGAAATGGCCGCAGCGATGGCGCATGCATCCAAAGCCTTGAGATTCATGCTCCACACTTCGGCCCTAGCAGTTTCAGTCCTCGCAGCGCCCCTCGGTTTCCATTGGCCACGACGGGTTTTTTCGGTGAAGAAAAATGTTGCTTGCCCTTAGCACTGAAGGTTCTTTTGGGGACCGGCTCCGCCTTCTTTCGAGCTCTGGCAGAGAGAAGAGGAAAAAACCGCCACCCCTGAATGGCCCTTGAATGCGAGCTGTCGGCCTGGTGGAGATTGCGCAGACCCTTCATCGTAACCATGCCCGAATCATTGCTTCAACACAGCAGACACAGCCCCTCAGACGAGGTCTCAGCTGTATCAGCCAGAACGGCGCTACGAACATCACGGCCGCTGCCCCGGATCAACTCGGAGCACAGGCATGAGGTCGCACACAGTTTTCAGGTGAAGACCATTGGCGGTACTCCAGGATACAAGTGTGCGCACCTTGGCCTGGTGCATCGGCCATAGGCACCATTTGCACTGGCCGCGGCCGCAGTATCCCAGACTCGATGAACCGTGCAGCAGGCTTTCCGATGCTCCCCCCCCCCCCCCCCCCGAAAAAACGATGCAGAAGAAACATGCTTTCCGTTGCAGGCTTACAGATTTAACGGCATTCAAAGCCGAAAGTTACGCCAGCGGCTTCAAACTCCTTGCTCACCTATTTTGTTTCTCAGAATCTGCTAAGTTTTTGAAGATGCCCGCGTCTCGGTAGGTCCTGTCTATGAGCGCACGCGACGCTGCACCGAATCGTCCGAGGTTCGGCTCAGTCTCAGTGTTCAGGGCAGAGTGCTCGATTGTTCACGAATAGTAAGCGCAGGTGTACTCCTTCGGCATGGTAATGCTGGAGGTGATGACAGGCCAGGGCCACAGAGCTCGCAGAGACAGACCACCAGCCCCGCACGCCTTCCTGCACCAACGGACGAAATTGTCGAAGAGCGGTGCATTCCCCAGTCAACGTGCTGAAGAACCCCAGCCTACAGCATGGTTCTCTGTTTTGGTGATGAAGCCTGCCATATGTCAGAAAAAGGACGTTGCTCCTTTGCAGCTTTGAACTTGGGATGTGTAGGGGTACTGGTAGCACAGTCAGACAGTTGACTGAGACAGATCGACGACCTCTATTGTAGGTGTCGATGCTTTCTCCACCGTGACATGCAGCCATTGTGTTTTGGGAAACATGGCAAGCTAGAGGCCTGGATCCTTCGGCCACCGACCCAGCAGCACCTCGAGGCTCCGGAAGCAACGCACGGCATCTGACTCAATTGCTGCATACTTCCTTGCAATGGGAGACTAAGACTGAACTTGACAGAAGCAGCGATCATGGTGCCCTGCAGTAGTGTGAAGCTGCTATTGTAAGTGTGAGCACTGGGCAGCGCCACTACCCCCCTTGTGACTCGCATTTATGTTTAGCCACATACAAACCTTGAAGTACTCGTAGCACGGCCGCCTTTCAAAGTCGAGACGGTGTTCGCAAAGAGTGTGCGTGCTACGTCGCTACGCTGCGATTCCCTTCAAGAGAGCAGCTCTGCTGCAGGCATCGTCTTCCCACTTGTGCGGTCCTCGGGCCTTCGGATGGAAAACGACACCAATGTCAACATTGGGATCAAAGATCAGCCGCGATTCCTTCATACCTGACTGGAAACTCCTTCGCCTCTAGTAGGGGAGACCTGGTAATTAGAACTGTCGAAGAAAGTGAGGGGAGCAACTGCACCAATCGACTTCTTCTGAGGCAACGACAGTGGCTCCAAACGCGCCTGGCTCGCTGCAACGGCTCAGAAGGCCTGTGGCGGAGCAGGGGAGAAGCTGATTATTTCACCCTGGAACTCTAGTACAGGTCGGCAGACACAACAGCCAGCTGGCTGGTGCCTGAATTGCCTGAGAGACCCTAGGGTGTTCTTGTTCAATGCGTGCCTGCATCCGCAAAGCGCAAGCCGCTTCCATGCCGTCTTTTTGGAGAGGGCCACCTGCAGTTTGACGCGCACGGGGCTGCCACTTCCTGCAGGCATGACATAGGCACTGTCACATCAACCAAGGCCTCGGGATCTCTTCGAGGAGCTGGCCCCGCCGGGATCCATGAAGCACAGCCGAACCTGCCGTGAAATCCAGGATGTTCGTGGTGTAAAATTGCAAAATGCACGACCATCGGGAGTGGCCAGAGCAGGCACAGCCCTTTCCCAGTTCTCACGAGGTGTTCAAAGCCAAGAATATTCAAGGAACAGCCTCAAGGAAGTACTCAGAAATGGTCGGAGTTGCTTGCATGTGCATCTATTGGAGGGCTGTAGTTCTGATCGTCAGAAAATCCACGTCAGCAGCGTTGACCCCCCAAAAACAGTGCACTGCGGAGATCGACGCAATGGCCTGGCAGCTCCGGCAGCTCCGAGTGGAGCCCAGGGCCATGGTGCGCCCGCGTTCGTGTCTGAGGATTCCGCAGCCGGCAGTCTGCGGCTTTCGGCTTACGCAGCTCCGCATGGACTTTGTAACTTTAGTGATTGAGTTTGCTTTCTGATTCTCACAGCTGTGGAGCGATACTTGTGTCGAGTCAGCACTGGCATCGCGTGGTCTGCCCAGTGTATAAGCAACGACCAGCCGAGCGCCCACAATGTATGCAAGTCATGGCATTCTACGTGGCTCAGAGGCAGAACCAGCCGATCACGAGGAGCAACAAAACACATAGTGACATAGTGTTCATCTGTGATTTATCATCACAGCAACAGCAACGGCAGCCGCCGACTTTCAGCACGGCCGAGATAATGGCACCTGAAACCCGACCATGAAACCCGGCACAAAAAGAGCAGAAGAGTGGAAGTTTCAATCTCAAGCAACAGACCAGCAGCATGTAAATCGCCAGCAATTGCAAACACCAGGGATCACGCCTACCAACAGTAGCACGAAATGTACCAATACTTGTAGCAACAGCACGAGTGCCTACCAAAAGCAATAGCCTAATTCACACGTGGAAACACAACAGAAATTTCTGCTGCTCGGCATCCTTTTGTTGCAACCGAACGCGGGCTGACAGCTGCTGGCATCGTTTGCATACTCTGCCGGTATGAGTGAGTATACTATTCTAAGTCCTCGATCTCTTGTGCCAGTTGCCAACAGAAAGACCGGCTCAATGTATGCAGCGACCCTGTCCAAAGAAGGCAAGGCTGCTTTCGGAACTTCCTGTCTACCCCGGCAACAAGCTGTGCCATCGAGCACGAAAGCTTGAGGAAAGCTTCGGAGGCACGTTTGAGTACTGGAAGGACCTACTGCGCGGATCTCCGCAAGGTCAGGGATCCACTGAGCATGTCAAGGTCTGGCCTGGGCCGGTGGACATAAGTTCACTACTCCGAGACGAGCCTGGCTGTTCTCGAAAACACTGCTTTCAGTCTTGGAGCATCACAAGACCAAGCCGCGTCGGCCAGAATCTGTTGGTGTCCCTATCCTGCTGTCCGCATGGTACGAGGCTCGATTTCATGCGTAGATTGGTATGCTCACTACATTATCTAGGCCACCACGCCTGTAAGATGTTCTTGAACATGAGATAGCCAAGAGGCACGGCCCAATTGAAGTAACATCCTCCATAGGCAGACACAACCACTTCTACATTAAGGTAGATCCCGGTTAGATCCCTCAATTAATTCTGCACGTCACATGGCAGCGGTTTCCTGGCTTAAAATCCAGGGAGGTCCCTCCCTGGTCTGGGCATCGCAAAGTGCGTGTCCCACGGCAGACGGCGCATCGCGGCCACAATTTGGCTACCCCAGGTTCCACAGACTCCCCAACGTATGTACCATGGTGGGAAAGCCTGGCTGAAATCGCGTGTCAAAGCCCAGGTGGTCGTGTTCGCAACGGATGACTTCCGGCTGACCAAGAGAGTGGAGTGCTGCAATCGCTTTCGCCTCACAGCAAGTTTTGCCATCGTTCGGGCCATCGCTATTGTCTTCATCACATCTGATGTGGAGAGTGCAATCTGTCCGTAGTGTGAACAAGCAGTAAGTAGTGCGTAAGTCTATGTTGTCGTGCTTGCGAAGAGCCTTGTGCGATTGGAGCTTATTATGCAATCTGACACGCAAAGCGCTGACAGTTATCGAACTTGCCCAGCAACCTCGCGCAGGAAAGCCAGTGTCGCATGATGCGACATGCATGCAACACTACATTCCTACATGCTTCCGACAGAACGTGTCACTGACTACTCGTATGGGGGATCATCAGCCGTGCTTTGTCTTCTGGAGCTGGGGAAAACCGCAGTCATGCTAGTGACGTCGACAGAGATGGAATCGCAGTGCTAGCACCGGCGATAGTGGAACTGTCGTGGCGCTAAGTCGATCTCACTACCACCCGATACCACGGTTTCTGTTCCCATTGCTGCTTCGATTACTGCGAGTAGCTATCTTCGGGCATTGCTGGTGTCTTTGCCTTGGATAATACCTTGGATATGTTGACAAATGCTGGCACTGTCGATTCGGCACCTGCCCCGTGCAGATTCTTGTCATCGCTTCTTTCTAGTGATGTGTAGCCGCTGCCGGTCGGAGCCAGGGTCGAAAACCAGTTTCAACGAGCGTACTATGACAAATGTCCTTAGCCCTAGTCGCCCTAGTCTATCGCAATTCAAGCTGAGGACAAACCGGACTTTGTGTACGAACCACTGAACGTCGGACGTGACTTTGGACCTTTAGATCTTGCGTCCACAGTCATCTATTGCCGGTGGGTTGATGTGCTTTGCAAAGAACATCACCGGTGCCGAGCCTTAGTCCACATTACTGCTGATGGCATGCGAGAGACATGGAGCAACACGGTGACCCTCTGCTGCGCGTACTCCATTCTGGCAAAGGGATTATCTGCGCAGGATGCGTACCAGCCGTTCGCTTACCTGGATCTTCCGGCATTCGTAGATTGTCGGGGGGAGGGTGCGAACGGGATCGAGTTGCAGGAAGAGGAGTCGGACTTCAGATTGAGCGTGCTCGATGTCTTGATGGGCATCCAGCGAGCCCGAGATTTGGGCTGGTTGGATTACCGAAGCTTCCCGGTGGAGCTCTACACCCAAATGCTGCGAGCAGAGCATGGGGACATGAGTTGGATACTACAGGGCAAAGCCCTGGCGATGGCCAGTCCTTGGGCACAGCCTGTGGACACGGAGGGCATGCCTGTTTGCACTCCAGATGTCCTTGTCCCATATTTTATCGAGAACAAGATTGAAGTCGTAATTCAGTGCAACCATCCTCAGTCCGAGGAGAAGGGGGAGCGGAGAGAGCTGATCAGCTATGATCCAAAGCCTTTCGAGAACGCCGGCATCAAACATGTGTGGCTTCCCTTCGAAGATGGGGGTTGCCCATCCACGGAGCTCATTCAGCAGTTTCTGCAAGTTGTCGAGCCGCATAGTGGCGCATTCGTCGTCCACTGCCGGTCTGGACTTGGCAGGACTGCTACGGTCATTGGGATTTATGCTATGCGACACCTTGGTTTCACGGCACGGTCCTTCATAGGCTGGTCACGAGTAGTGCGGCCTGGGACAGTCCATGGCAGCCAGCAGCAGTATCTCGTGAACCTGGAGCCATACGTGCGCCCTGGCGTTGAGAGATCATTGGCCAACTTGAACCAAGTAGAGCAATTGCAGATGCTGCCGGTGCGCGAGCTAAGCTTTTGGGCTCTTGACTTGGGTGTGAATCATGAGCTGCTGGCTAATCGCTCATGGACCGAGCTAATTGATATCATTCTTGAAGCACGTGGCAACGTCAAGTCCGGATCCAACTTGCGGGCGCGTGACCCCGCCGCGCAACGGGCACCTGACCCTGCAGCGCACCGGAATTCAGTGACGGCCGGAATCCCTGAAACGATTGTGCCACAGCAATCGAGTTCCAGTCAGAAAACTCTAGGCGAACCAAGCATAGACCCGTGGCAGGAAGCTCTTCAGTATCTTAGACTTCTGGGTTCTCTGCACGACGGTTTTGGCGCAGATGCCATCATCCAGCTGGTCGAGCAGATTCGGGACAGCCCCTCGGCTCGAACCGGCATGAAAGCCGATGAAGTTGAATCGGCAGCCATGAAGGAAGTCAGTGCTGCACATGCTGCAGCTTTGGCAGAGACACGACGAAAGGAGGCCGAGTTGGGGGAAAATTTGCAGCTTGCCAGAGCTGCTCGGCGAGAATGCGTACAAGTCAAGCTTTCCATTGCCATGCAGCAAGATGCATTGCTCCAAGCCAGCAGCGATGCTGTGAGAGAGTCGACTGTTATGGCCGACTTGCAGCGGCAACTGGCAGAGGCAGCGGAGGTGCGACGCCAGAAGCTGGAAGCTCACCGAAAGGAGCAGGCTGCCCTGCAAGATGCCAAAGACCAGTGGAAAATGCTTCAGATCCAAGCAGAGACTGAAACCATTAACAACAACGTTAGCGCAGTTGGACCGATGGAGGCCTGGCAGAATGCCAAGCGCTCACTCGATCGCTTGCGCATGCGCCTTGAGCAGAGCTAGAGAGGACAAAAAGCCTGTGAAGCAGACATCCTGCACGTGAGGAGTTGGCTGTTGCTGATCTGAATACTCAGCTAGACCACGCAGCGGCGTAAACAGGGGGTGAACAGAAGGAGAGCCCGGCTTTGGTCATGACAGCCGAGGCTGGCCTTGCGCAGCGTCTGCTGCCCTGAGGAGGAGCAGAGACCAACTTTTGTGGCGACTTAGCTCAATGCGATTTCGGAGACGGTGCTGCTCATGAGCACGACTTTGCTAAGTTAAGGAGCTGGTGCGACAGCTGAAATCCACAGCCGGACACCTACAGCGAGAGAAGAACCAACTCCGGGCTGTAGATGGGCAACCGCTACCAACAAACTGTTGACTCGGAGGTCGAGCGTTTCCCTCCTCGGAGCTCGTCTGAGCGAGTTGACATGCTTCAGGCCGCAGCATGAGAGTTTTTGTAGAAACACACCTCTGCCATCGATGCTCTTGTGTGCTCTCGCGACTTACCTCTCAAACCGCAGGCCTTCAGCCAGATTCTAGCTGCGGCATGGAAAAGGAGCGTCGGCTGTGCTGAGCCTGTTTTGCACTAGGCCCAGCGGCTACCTCTTATAGTGGTAGCGGAGCCTGAGTGCTGATTGCGGCGGCCTTTGGGGCGAACCTATAAGCGCGACTCCGTGTACCTTCTTCGCGCCCTCCTGTTCCTTTACCTGTTTCTCGACTTCTTCCTGGCTGGACGCTCAGCTGTGAGAGTGCCGGGCACAGGGCTGCTGGAACTGGTGGGCTGGTTTCACTTTGCAAGCCAGGCCCTGGAAATTGGGGCTAGGAATTTGCCTGCTGATATGGCTGACGCCTCGGGCGACTATGGAGGAGTTTGGAGCAAGTGCCCTACCTGGGATGGCTCGCCGCTTTCTTGGCGAGCTTTTAAAAGGGAGATGGCTTGGTGGGTGAGTTCTCTTGACCTGGAATCCACCCGAAAGTTCAACTTGGCCGCGCGGTTCCTCATGAGGCAAAGCGGCACGGTCAGGCAGAGGGGAGAAGAATTTTCTCCCGAAGAGCTTGCTTTTCAGCCTGCTGTGACCGCGCCGGATCCTCAAACAGGGGAGCAGATCACAATTGTCGAGGAGGACCTCCTGGCAGGACTGAACAAGCTGCTCGCTGCGCTTGAGAATCTGAATGGCCAGTCGGTGCTAGATCGTCGTGGGGAACTTCGCACGCAATTTTATCTGCATCTGGCCAGGCGGCCGGGGGAAAGAGTTGCGGATTATGCCACCCGTTTTCGGACGGCCATATCAGATATGAAAACAGAGGGAGTGAAGCTCCCGGACCCAGAGGTTGGATGGTTTTTCAAGGAGAAGCTGGGTTTGGATGCGCTTCGCCGTCAATTGCTTGACACCGCCTTGCAAGGAGCAGAGGCCTACGGTACGATAGAGGGCGAGTGTCTTCGACTTTTCAGAGACTTACACCTACAGGACCCTCTCTATCGTCGTTTGGACAAAGGCAGCGGGCGCATGACCATCAAGCGCATCTTTGGCGGCGGCCCGCCGTCTGGCGCATCCTCGGCCCCTTCTTCCTTGCCTTCCCGACGGCCCTCGACTTTGACAACCTCGAGCTCTACGGCTTCCTCTCGAAAGTTTGTCCCGCGGCAGGTGCAGGCGGCTGAAGCCGAGGAGCAAGAAGCCATGGAAGCAGCACTGGTGGACGGCGACGAGGCAGAGCAGGAGCCCGAGGAGACGGTCGGTGACAACCCCTCCTTGGAGGAAGTCCTGCAGACTGAGGTGCAGTGTCTGGCGGAGGTGAACTCCCACTCCGTTGCTGAGGTCGAAGCCCTTGCGAACCAGGAGGCGCACGAAGTGCACATGGTGATGTCTTTATCGGCGGCCCTTCGCTCTGGATCGTCTGCGGCCGCTTCGGAGGTGATGGCTGCCAGCGCCCTTTCTCACGACAAGGCGTTGGTAGGTGCTCTGGACTCAGCGTGCAACCGGACTTGCGCGGGCGAGGAATGGATCCTTGGCTACCTGGCAGAGCTGCAAAAGGCGCCCGCAGAAATTCGCGAGCTGGTCCTGACCACGGAGGAGCGTGAAAGCTTTAAGTTTGGGAACGGGGCCACCTTGCCAAGTGGAGTGCGCTACAGGCTGCCGGCGGTCATTGCCGGGAACCTCGTTGGCATATGGGTTTCCTGTGTGCCGGTTCCCTCTTTGGGTCTTCTTCTTGGCCGTGATCTTCTCGATGGGCTGGGCGGCGTGCTCGACTTTGGTCGCAAGACTCTTCGATGTAATCTTTTTGCAGGCCGGCCACCCGTGCCTTTGGAGCGCCTCGCAGCGGGGCATTTGGCCCTGAACCTTATTCCGGACCTGTGGCCGATTGTGAGCCGGAGCCGCTGGCGAAAATTGGGGCCTGGAGGTGTTCTTGAGTGTAGCATTGGCTGTGCTGAGTGGGCTGCTCACCTTTTGCAAGCTTCTCCACTTGTGTCGGAAGACGAGCCCCATAACCACAACCTCACCGAAGCAAGCTTGGAACTTGGCAAGATGGCTTTTCACGCTGTTCTTTGTGCCTCGGCCCGAACCGTGGAGATGATGAGTAACTCAGTGCCCCCGCCAACACGTAGCACCACGACTTCGGCGGCTGGCCATGGCATTTCCCAGACCGACGGTGGCACCTTCGATGATGGAGGGCTCGTTGGAGCGGCAGTTCCTGGATCCCGGCACCTTGGCCGGCGACAGGTGGCGGCGAATGCTCCTACGGTCCCTGGCGCGATTCGACTGGAGCCGCGAAGGAGTAAGACTTTGGTGCGTAAAGCATCCCGAGCTGCGCTGGCTGCCCTTTCCGTATCCCTCGGTGTCCTCTGTGGAGCAGTGGAGGCTTCAGTTGGATGGGATGGTCGCCAGTGGCTGCTATCCGAAGCGATGGGTGGGCCGAGGCCGCTTTACTTCGACGACCTTGGCCTCAATGAGCTGGCTTCGCGGCCGCGTCGGGCTGAAGTTCGCCTTCCTGGAGGACCCGGTGTTGAGTGGAATGCTGGCCTCTCGCCAGCAGCCTGGCCGGATGAACCGTATCAGGACGGCGGCCATTCGAGAAGAGGCGGCGGCGATGGCGAAGGAGTCCGACAGACTGAAGGTGGCACGCGCGCTCCTCGGACCAAAACGGGGGCTTCCTACCTTAAAGGGCGACCTGGTGAAGCTGGCTGCTCTTTTGCACACCCCGCTGGAGGAGAAGGACACCGTCAAGACCATCAAGGACAAGCTTCGACCACTTCTGGTGGACCTGTGCCACAAGGTGCCCTATACTCCAGCCGAGGCTTCGGCCGCATCTTCGGCGAGCTTTGCCGAGCACTACGACTTGACCAAGTCCCCGACCATGGCAGCGGCACCCCGACCTTCGACTTTGACCTCGTTCGGGACTATGTCGCCTGGGCCGAACCCCGCTCCGACGACCTTTCCGGTGGTCGCCGAGGACCCTATGAATGTTGCCACCTTGAACACGCACCTGATGAACGTGATGGACCAGCGGTTCAAGGAGCTCGGAGAGCGCCGCGAGGCGATGCTGACTCAGGTGCTGCAGCATATGATGCAGCTGCAGACCAACCCGCGAGGAGCCGAGCCGGACCACGAGATGGGAGACGGCTGCACCCTGACGCAAGACACCCCTCAAGCCGATCATCGGATGGAACAGCTGGGCTGCCTGGAAACCCGCGACCTTTGAAAGTCGCTCCTTTGAAGGCCGGGCAGCGGCAGATGATTGGTCAAGCTTGGGAGCGGCACCGTCGGGACCAGCTGCTTATATCGTGCTCCCCGCGCCGGGTCGCTGAGGTGATGAATGCCGAGCACCACGGGCTCTACCGCAGGGGCATGCACGAGACCTTTGTCATGGAGATCCCGCTCTTGTGCTCTGACGTGCTCGGCTATAACACTTCTGTGGGGCAGTGTGCTCGGACCCGGGGGCACACGACCGGGACCACTCTGGGTCCGGATGCCGGCTGGGATTTCATGGTGCCGGCACAGAGACAAGCAGCGTTGAAGCTGCTTCAAAACAAAAACCCCTACTTTGTGGTCATGTCAGTGCCCTCGGCCCCTTGGATGTTTTCATCTGTGGCGCTATCTTCCCGAGACCGACAACGACAACTACAACAACAGCTGACCACCCAAATCCGGTTCGCAAGCCGGGTTGCCCGACTGCAGCTTGGGGGGGGAGACATTTCGTGATCGAACACCCGCCGGCTTCGGCTCTTTGGCGTCTTCCTGGTGTTCGCTCCCTGGCTGCCGACCCTCGCTGCCGTCTGTTTTCGATCGATTTGGGGCGATTTGGCACTAAAACGCTGGGCGGTGAACGACTTCGGCTGCCCTGGACGCGGCTGCTCACTTCAAGTCAGGCCGTTGTTCATGAGTTTGGGCCGGTTCGATGTGACGGGCCTCCTCCTCGGCGTCCCTTCATGGAGATTCGTGCGTTTCCCAAGGGCTTTACAGACCGGCTGGTGGCCGCCATGGAGGAGGAATTTGACGCGGAGACCTGCTTGCGCCGGGCGGCTGTGCAGGCGAATGAGTGCTTCGAGGTTTCCGGTGTGGGGGCCTCTGTGGACTTTGTGCAGGAGACTTTGGCGCAGGAGGCCGGCCTTGAGGGCGACAGCGAGACCGAGGAGGAGGCGGAGACACCGTTCGTCGGGGAGATCACGCCGGCGATTCGGGCGGCGGTGCGTCGAGTACATGAAGCGACGGGCCACCGTCCTCCTAAACGATTGGCTCGGGCTCTTCTGCTTTCTGGTGCTCCCCCTGCTGCTGTTCAAGCCGCTCGCGAGCTGAAGTGTGACGTTTGCTTGGAGAAGAGCAAGCCCAAGGCCAGGCGAGTGGCGACCCTTCCGGCTCCGAGGGCCGTGGGGGAACGAGCTCATGTGGATCTTTTGGTGGTCGAGGACGCCCTGGGAGAGGCCTTTGTTGTTGCCCATGCCACCGATGCCGTGTCGAAGTACCAGCTGGCCGCGGTGATTCCGGACAAGTCCTCGGCCTCGGTGATCGATTTCCTTACGCGCTTGTGGTGGCCCTTGCTTGGTGCCCCTCAGCAGATTGTGGCAGACCAGGGCCGAGAGTTTATTAGCGAGGAGTTTCAAAACTTTTGCTCGGCCCACTCGGTGCACCTTTGGCACTGTGCTGTTCAAGCCCCCTGGCAGAACAGCCCGGCAGAGCGCTCGGGAGGAGTTTTGAAGACCCTGGTGGCGGCACTTGTGGCCGAACATGTTACTTTGGGCTTCCGGGACATGTGCAACGTTGTGGGAGAAGCCTGCTCGGCCTACAACGCGGACGCCAATGAGGAAGGAGTCTCTCCGTTACAAAGTGTTACGGGCCGTCAACCGGGACACCAAGGTTCGGTGCTACACAACTTCGCCGGGCGGCTTGCCGAGCATGGTCTCATTGACTCCGAGCCCTCGCTTCAGCAAAGACTCGCTCTGAGAGAGAGTGCCCGAGTGAGCATGGTGAGGCTACATTACTCCCGAGGAATTCGACGTGCAGAACTAGCTCGGAGCCGGGAGCCCACCATTCAACGTCCCATCGTGGCGGGTGACACCGTTTATTTTTGGCGGGTGCAGAAGGTGAATCGTCGAGGTGACTCGCGACTCTCGACTTCGAGCAGGCGGCGGCGACTTGAACTCCGTCGTTGGCATGGGCCCGCCATTGTGCTGGCTTTGGAACGCAGCTCAGAGGCCAGTGCGGTGACCAATGTTTTCTTGTCTTTCAAGGGCCAGGTGACAAAGTGTGCTTTAGAACATGTTCGGTTGGCTTCGTCCTTGGAGCAGCTTTTGGGCGGAGCCTGGGAAGCGGCGATCAAGGAGCTCACCGAGGGCGGCGGCACTCCTGTTCGTGCCTTGGTACCCGGCGGCCTGGAGGATGTTCCTGAGGAGCCTGTGGGCGACTTGGTGAGTTCAGCCGAGCCCCCTTCGACGGCGGCTCCTGGAACTCCGGTGGGGCAATTGCTTCAGCGGCCTGTGGTGCAGCGTGCTTTGCAACGGGCGCAGAATCAGCCCCTGGAACTGACCTTGGGGAGTCAAGCTCTTGCTCGTGGTCAGCCGGGAGACTTTGCTGCTGAACTGCGGTCTCTTATGGAGCGGGGACGCAAGCGTTCGGTGACTGAGAGTGCCGAGCCCACCGAGTCCTTGGTGGATGGACCGCCTTCGTTTTCGAGGAGGGTGTCTTCAGTGGGCCCAGCGGGCGTTGCAGATCCCCCTCGACTTTCTTCAGAACCACAGGGTGAAGTAGTTTCAGGAGATGGTGCTGCTGATCCCCATCGACTTTCTTCAGAACCACAGGGTGAAGTAGTTTCTACGGTTGGGGGGGGGTTCGTTCAGCATTCGAGGCCCTTACCGTGAACCACGACCAGCTACGTCGGCTTGCTTCACCTGGTGGGGACCTACATCCTCTACTGCAAGTTCAGGCCCAAGTTGAGTGTGATCGCCTTCGCGGGGCTGTGTCGGAGCAAGCTCCTGACCATGGGTCGTGGGATGGCCGTTGGTCTTTGCCAACGCGGTCGCAACACGACCTTCTTCGGACGATGGGCGCTCCTTTGCCTACTGGCGTTCCCGAAAAGGGCCATGAGGTCAACGCGACGGGTGGGCGAAAGGAGAAAATCTGGAGCCACATGAGCGAGTCGGAGAAGCAACTTTGGAGCGAAGCCGCGGTAAAAGGGTGGAGCGCCTATGTGGACAACGACGCCATCCGTGTGCTCTCGGTGCAAGAGAGCCTGGCTGTGAGAAAGGAGCTGGCTCGCAAGCGCGAGCTCGACAGAATTCTCACCCCGCGCTTCGTCATGACTGACAAGAACGACTCGCTCAGGACTGAAGAAGGGGCAAATTTGCCTCCGGCTCCCAGTTCCCGACTTGTCGTCCCAGGCTTTGAGGACAGAGCGAACCTGGAGGGCGAGATCAGACGGGATGCCCCGACCGGCAGTCGGCTGAGTCAACACTTGCTCGTTTCCTTGGTGGCTTTTCACCACAAGACCTGGAGCCTTCTCTCTGCAGACGTCAAAGCCGCTTTCCTCAAAGGAGATCCCTTCGTGGCGCGCGAGTTGTACATTGGTGCCACGAACCCCAAGGTCGGCCCTTCCATTCCTTTGCCTCAAGGCTGCTTGGCCAAGGTTCTCAAGGGGGTCTTCGGCCTTGCTGACGCGCCGCGCCAATGGTGGGTCAAGCTTTCAAAGTCTCTTGAGGCGCACGGTTGGCAGCGTTCGGCTTTGGACCAGGCGGTTTGGTTCCTTTGGGATGGACCAGAGCGAGAGCAGCTTCGAGGGATGATCGTGAGCCACGTGGACGACCTGCTGTTCGGTGGAGACGCCGTCGCCGAGAAGTCCCTCATGGAGGTCGGCGACCAGCTCGGGTTCCGGGACGTCACGCGCAACGAGTTCACCTGGTGTGGGAAGTTCTTTCAGAAGTGTGCCGATGGCAAGGTGACGCTTTCCATGAAGGCGTACCACGAGAACCTACGCGAGGTCTACGTGCCTAAGGCTCGCCGAGGTGACGTGGCTGCACCTCTTACGGCTCCTGAACACCGACAGCTTCGTGCCCTTCTTGGCAGTTTTCAGTGGCTGGTGGCGCAGCTCAGGTTTGACTTGGCCTTTTGCGTTTCCTCTTTGCAAGGAGAGTCGCCTCCGACCGTTGGAACGCTCTTGAGGGCCAACCTTCTGGTGCGTGAGTTCCAGCGAAACTGTGGCTTCGAGTTGGTGTTCCGGGGTGTTAATCCCTACGCTGGTGGCCTCATGGTGGTGACCGACGCCGCCCTGGGGAACGTGGACGTGAAAGGCTCGGCTCAGGAAGCTCCTCTGACCAAGGTGTTTTCTCAAGCTTGTTACTTTGTGGTGCTGGCCGACGAGGCGCTGATGGCGCTGATGGCTGGCAAGACTGGGAGCTTCAACATTTTGGATATGCGATCGCATCGCATACCCCGTGTTTGCCGGTCTTCGTATGCTGCCGAAACGCTCGGCGCAGAGGAGGCCTTTGACGTGGGACAGTTGTGCCGGGGGTTTTTGGCAAGCGTCAGGGGCCTCAGCCTGCACAAGTCTCAAGTCGACGTGTCGCTGAACACCGTCCCGCTGTGTGTTGTGGTGGACGCCAAGGATGTGTATGACAAGTCGAACAGTGACTCCAACAGCTTTGGCAGTCAAAAGTCCTTGGCTTTCACAATAGCCTGGCTTCGCAGTGTGTTGCGGCGACCCAACACCAGTCTTCGTTGGACCAGCACGGAAAACATGTGGGCAGACGGAGGAACTAAAGAAATGGACCTGACCCACATGCGTGAGATCATGTCCGCCGGCCGGTGGTCTGTGACCTACAGCCCGTCCTTCGTGAAGCAGGTTTCCAAAGGGAAGCGGAAGAAGCCGGAGCCCATGCTAGAGCAGGCGCCAATGGGGCAGTTGCTTCCTCCGAACGACCCTCTTCTTGGTCATTTGCTGAAGCTGGGTGAGCAGCGCGGCTGGCACAACCTCGAGAACATGGGGGTGAATGTGGCCTACGACGCTCGTAGCAAGCGCTCTCCAGAGCCGAGGTTTTCTCCCAGTGCCTTTCCTTTTAGAAGCTCGTTTTGCCGTGTAGAGTTATCCTCCGGGCAAGTTCAATGGCGTGTTCTGGAGCGAAATGCTTCGTATCAAGAGTTGCCAAATCAGCATGAGCTGCTCCCTCAAAGGGCACCCATCCTCGTGACCTTCTTCACGAGAGATGCTGTGCAGTAGCAAGAGCATCGGCAGTGGTTTTCTCTAGTTGCTAAGCTAGAAAAGAAAATATAGGGGATGTAGAAACACACCTCTGCCATCGATGCTCTTGTGTGCTCTCGCGACTTACCTCTCAAACCGCAGGCCTTCAGCCAGATTCTAGCTGCGGCATGGAAAAGGAGCGTCGGCTGTGCTGAGCCTGTTTTGCACTAGGCCCAGCGGCTACCTCTTATAGTTTTCGATCTATGCAGTGCACCATTTGACAGCCTGGAGCCCCGATTCCGGTCCAACCGACAGCGTGTGACTCCCAGGTGGAGCCGTCAACAAAGCACTCGGATGGTAGTGGCCAAGAGCTTGGAAAATCAGTGTCAGCCTTCTACCGTAGCTTCTGCCAGGCATTGGTGTTGAACTTGGGAAGGGGGATTTGAGATGGGACTTCACTGACTATGTGACGTACCTTTGCTTTTCCCTCGTTTGGGAGTCGGCCTGAATCGTCGGCATATTGCTGCCCGCCACTCCAGGCGGTTCATCACCCCGGCATTCTCCCAGGCCCCCACAGGCAGGTATAGTATTGGTTCTGGCATGCTCCGACAAAGCTTTGGTTCCAGTTGCACACAGGATCCCGCCAACATCGGAGCCTCAGCAGAGCGTCAGGTGGCTGGTCGGCTGGGTTCCCAGCTTCCCTACCATGGCCCTCGGAGCACATTCAATCCTACAAGTAGCCTCGGTGTTGCCAAGGTTGTATGCGATTGTATCCAAATCCCGCATGCGACGGGCATACTTTGTAACATTGTAGAATAAGCTGTCACGTGTCTCGGAAAGGTAGTTCATAGCGAAGCGCGAAGCACTCCAACCCAAAGTGAGTGCCGATTAGCTTGAATCAATACATACCGAACTGAGCCGTACAAAGACGGACATACAGCTTGAGGCAGCCATGTCAACCACCTTCCGGGTTCAGGCAGGCTCCAACAGCTGCAGCGAATTATGGAAGTTGGATTTTGCTCTGTTGCTTCCACGTGAACCGTCACTCAGAGCAGGACTGGGGAAAGCGTAGTTTGTTGTAGCCACCCTTGCAAGCAAGACAGCACCTTGTAGCTACGTGGCCCGAAGTGCGAGCGCTGGGGGACAGCCCTCCTCTTCCTCAGTGGAAGGCAGGCATGCGAAACGCGGGATGTGTGGCTGCAGCGATGCGCGGAAGAGCATGGTTGTAAGACGTTATGAACGTATCATGGCATTTAGATTTTGTCTATCCTGGCATCCAGGAGATGGACAGATCCTCGTTGAACAAAGCCACCAGCGCCGATGACACTCCCACGCCAGGATACTTATATACAGAGATACTCGGCTTAACACGAAGCGTCAGTGTACAGCCAGCGCAAAACACAGCCCCGGAGTGTCCCGAATTTGTCGAGCCAACAAGCGTCTCGCGCCCTGGCGCCCTGGTCGTGCTACTGTAGCTGAGCTGGCTGCACTGAGGATAGCACAATCAACTTTCGCTGACTTGAACGCATGCCAGCAGTTAGCAGACTACTTGCTGAAAAAGTCGCTTGGCGGTCATGGTTTGGATCTTTATGAACTTCTTTCATTATTGGCTGGTACTGCGATGAACGCGCAGCACAACACTGTCGGATTCTGTCGGCTTGTCAGGTTGGAAAAAGACAATCCCCATGTGAAACTGAAATGCTTGAAGATCATCAAGCATGCGGCTCACCTGCAACGTTCTCCTGAGCTCCAGGCGTATGCGTACCACTCGGCTATGCTTGAAGAGTTTGTGGATCTCAGTTGGTGCACACCTCTCAGGTATGCGAGCAGGGGAAACCCGAATTCAAACGCGCAGTTCAAAGAAAGGCAGCCCAGCATGATCGTGACTGTTGCTCTAGTCACGCAGAAATCAACACTCCGCCGTTGAGAAGTTAGGGGGGTCAGGCAGAGGCCGCGGTAGCATAATGAGAATAAGCGAAGCACTTCGCCGATGCTGGCACAAAGAATCTCGCATATTCTCGCATGCATTTCTTATGGATATCGACGGGCTAACAAGAGCCGGAGGAGCCAGGACACTCGCAGCTTATTGCGACCTGTGCAGGTAATTTCGTGTGATGCTGTGTGTGTACACCCTGAGATCATGCCTGTGCTGTCAGGCAGACGTCGTGAAATCATGCCTGCAATTTCGGGGTACACCGGATCCATTGCAAGGCGCGGACAGTGTCGCGAGCAGTTTTCCAGCCTAGCGCGGGCGGAGTAGAGTCGATCATGGGGCGGCTGTAATTTTCCTTCGAGGCGATGCCCCAAACAAAGCTGTGCGGGAAGAAGCCGACTTGGCCGTCAAAGCCGTGTTCAGCTCCCGAGCTGAAGTTGAAGTCGAGTCTGAGACCTTGGAACACTCGTTCTGTCAGCTCCCTCGCCACATCTGCCAAGGCTCCAATGCATCGCTGAATGCGTACGGCTTTAGCACTGCACAGGGCAAGAAGATGCAGGGTTTCGGCAGCGAGCCGAGTGATGACATCAGCAGGACCGGGGTGTAGTCTGAAAGACCAAATTTGAACGAGGATGACGAAGGCCGGCAGGTGAGAAGACAGACAGGCAGACAGGCAGACAGGCAGGAAGACAGCCAGCCAGCCAGCCAGCCAGCCAGACAGACAGACAGACAGACAGACACACAGACACACAGACAGACTCACAGACAGACACACGGACGGACACACAGACAGTCACGCAGACAGTCACACAGACAGACACACATACAGACACACAGGCAGACACGCAGACAGAGACACAGACAGTCACACAGACAGACACACAGACAGACACACAGACAGACACGCAGACAGAGTCACAGACAGAGACACAGACAGACACTCAGACAGACACACAGACAGACCCACAGACACAGAGACAGACAGACAGACAGACAGCCAGCCAGCCCACAGGCAGGCAGGCAGGCAGGCAGGCAGGCAGGCAGGCAGACAGACAGACAGACAGACAGACACACAGACACGCAGACACACAGACAGACGCACAGACAGACACACAGACACACAGACAGGCACACAGACAGACACACAGACAGACAGACCGCCGGAGAGAGGAGCAGAGACGCGCAGAAGGACGAAGAGAGAGAGAGAGAGAGGCATTTTGGCTCAACTGTCCGCACCTTTGTTCTTCGGGGCCTGTTTTGCCTCCTTGGGCATGTGTTAACCCGAGGCCGTGCCTTCAGGGAGCCTGCATGCTTGCTCCCAAGCGGCGCTTGAGTCCCGCGCCGACGCCATTTTGCTGAAGAGGCCCCTTCGCGCCCAAGCGCTCCGCGGAACCTGACCGCGGCCCTTCCTTTAGAGGGTGGCCCGCCGTTCCGGGGAAGCCACAAATCCCACGACAGCGGGGACACGTGCTACAAGTGCAAGGTGGTCACAGGGCAGCTTACCAGCGCATGGCGACCGTGTGACCTGCACAAAAAGATGGACGAGGACGAAGCCGACGACCTGCTGACCAGAGGACCTGGGGGGGAAGCTCAGCAAAACCCCAACAAGGGCAAAGGAAAAAGCAGACCCTCGTCCGACTATGTCAGGTTTGAAACGGATGGCACTCTTGTACGACCCGAGCCCACTGGATAGGTGGATTGAAACGCCCATCCGACAAGACGGAAGGACGGGGAAATACGTCAACCTCATGACGCGGGAGGCCCTAGATGCGGAAGCTACAGACGATACAGGCGCTACATACAAAGGCACAGTGAGCCGACGAGACGAGACACCGGTCGACGAGCGGACCGGCTGATGGCTCTTGTGGGGATGTATAACCCACGCATAGAGAAGGAGCTTCGCATCTATGTGGGGGAGTTCCCGGAATAAGAAGCCGAGCTCCTCAGCCCAGCCGAAAAAGTCTTCAAAGAGGCGATGGAGGAAACACCAAGAGAGGAAAAACGCGAAGAAGCAGATCAAGAAGGAAGCGAAGGCGAAGACGTCCAGGAGCCAGGAGCACATGAAGCAAAACCTTCTGACCAGTTTTGGTCTTGCTACGCTCCGTTGTCCACTTCTGACTTCACACTCCCAGGAGAGTTCCCCACCTCAGCCCAGTTATTGCAACCACAGAAGACGGGCCGCGGAGCCAGATACCACCTGCCTTGGGGGAGCCATATGCCCCTTTTTTAATGCACGTCTTTTCCGAACACTCAGCTTCTTCAAACAGAGACCCACTGCAAATTCGTACAACAGTGAAGTTGCGAACCCAAGGAAGGAATGAAGATAGCCGTGGCGAAAGAACGAGAGACAGAGTGACGCACCACACGCACACACTTGTAAGTTGATAATCATGGTCACAAACTGCGAAATTTGAAGGTGATGATACTGATGGTAATGATGCTGCGATGGAACTTTTGGGACCCCGTATGCCAAACAAAGAATGATACACAGAACAGATGATGTGATCCGTGAGGTTTGAGGTTGCTGCCCCCGCCCGGAATGCTGCAGCATGAAATGCATGATATGAAGGTGAAGGACGGTATGAGTCCAGCCCCCACAAGCTAGCCGCAAGCAGATCCATGAGGGAGCTTAAGTGGGGAGGGTGGGGGAGCTTGTTTGGGCATGGCTCCCCACCCTCGCCCGAAGTCCCCCGGCGCGAAACAAATAAAGGGAGGGACGGGACCAGAAAAATGGAGGTAACCTTCCTGCACTTGCACTAGTCACTACTACTGTAGTCGACAGACCTACTGCAAAACAGAAAGCACATGGCACCCTGTGCACATGTCACACTGCACGTTGCCAACAACTGCTAAATGACTCTATTGGAGTAGCGCGCAGAGCTGATCGGAGTGTATTTGGCAAGCCTTGCTATGCAGCTGATCGGCATACTCACCGACCACCCCCATCAACATGGCGCCATGACGGAAAGCCGTGGTGAACACACTTGGAACAGGCTTTCAAGATGGTCATCATGGTGATTTGATTTGCAGAGCAAGCATCTATCGGAATTGCAAGATTCATGATAATGATGATAATGATGATGATGATACTGATGGTGACGATGATTTTTAGTAGCGCACATGCCAAGCACAAAGAATGATATACAAAACAGAAGAGGTGATCAGAAAAAACAGGTGAGATGCCTGCCCTTCTGCATCAGACATTGGGAATGGTGCAGCATCACACGAGACTAAGGACTACGATATGAGTCAGAGGCCCCTTATCCCCGCGGGGGTCATGAGCGTGCACAAAGCAGACGAAGGGAGTGACCCCCGGTGTCCATGAACGAGGACGGCAGGTGAACGAAAACATTAGATTGCCAGCTTGAGGTTTCCAACACTTCCGATGCCACCAAATCGAATTGATCCTTAATGTTCGCCCAATACTGAAGCAGGCCTCAAGTGAGGTGCGCATTCCCGGGCAGACGATGCAAATCACAGCATGCAAAACAAGCCATTCACTTCTCGATTCGCTCAATTCTTCGCAGGGGCCATGGGGGGGTTAGTTGATGTTTGGCACAGCGACCTGATGCATGACTGGAGCTTCGTTCCAGTCATACACCCCCCTGCTGTCATTCGTCACTAGCAGAAGTCAACCATGAAACAATCGTTCATGAAGCACCTGGAACATAGGTGCTGGCCGTGAATTTTAAGCGGTGCGCGCACATAAACAAGCAAGAAAAGACTGCGAAGCTAGTGCCCAAACTTGGTTCAAAGAGTCGCATACATCATAGGCTCAGGCATGCACAGGATGAGTCGGGAAAACCACGGTCTGCTGGCAGCAGAAAGTGGGAGAGGCTGGCGGTGCCAACGCCAGAACGCAGTCGTGGTGGCTCCGGTGCAAACTCTGTACTAAACGCGCTGGCACTTCTCCTGCAAAAGCTGCAGGCCGAAAGTTTGGAGACCAGCGATGCGCCGGAAGATGTTCCGACCATGAGCAAAAAACAGAAGTGCTGATTGTCGGTTGAACGAGAGTCCACCCGCCCCACCTGCTGTCGAAACCGGACACAATCTACGGCATGCCGTGTCGGACGACCTGAACGTCGCTCGCGAGCGCACCTAAATTCGGCAGGCAAAGTAGAAGGACAAACCCTTACGAAGTATTCAAGGTCTTTTAAGATCGTCCCTCAAAAGCGCAGCCGTCAGAGCAGCTGAACTGACAAAGGTGGACCAAAATGCAAGAGTTGGCCTCGCTCGGCCTGCCTTCCAGAATGTCGTTCGGCAGCACGGAAACGTGCGGCGGCTCTTGCTCGCGCAGGGGATCACCAGCCAAAGTTAACTAACGAAGGGCACCCGAAACGGGAACGTGCGGCGAGCAAAATGTAAACACCGAAACCCAAGACCGTGGTTTCTGACCTAAACTGAAGTCGCTCGAGTTCAAATTAATTAGGAAAAGTTGATGAGCCGGGTACCTCCTTGTACACTGAAAGTACAAGCGGCAAATCGAACGCTACAGTTCAAACGAGAAGTTTCGGGATTGAGAGAACCCAACAAAACTGCGACAGCTTGCGAACCTGAATTTCGGAAGAATCAGCTGTATTTGGATGAAAAATTTGGCAACGTCTTGGCCCAAAGAAAATACGAAAAATGTCAAAAGGAGAAGGAAGCTGAGAGGAAGTCGAGAAACGCGACTGCACGGCACACAAGACGGCCGAGTGAGCGTTTTGGCTTCTCGTGCCTATTTCGTCCTTCAGCTTCTCAATCCCAAGACTTATGCCATGAATTGCAACTTTGTTGTGGTCCACGCCGACCGTTGGACTCCAATCCCCGAAAGACAAGTACCAAGGCCTCAAAAGCCGAAACCCTGTTCGACGACGAATTGATTCGCTACCTGTCAAAAGCCGCAGCTCCAAACTTCACCAAAGAGCCGAGGCCGAAGCAGTTGATCGTTCAAAGTCTTTGGGAGCGAGTCCACGAAGGTAAAATTCAACAAAGCGTTTGACCTTCGCGATCGAAGTCTTTTTGCGTTCGCAGTGTTGTTTTGTTCCTAAGTACCCTGGGTGTGACGAGGACCCCATCAGGCAAGGCTTGGCGCGAGGGGCGTTCACATGTTAACTTGATCGTGTCCCATGCGTTGTCGACACTATGGTTGACTGTAACTTCAACCAACTGTGAGAAACTATTGTGGTTCTGGTTGGTGCATATAGGGACGACAACTGATCATACAGTCTGCGCCAGTTTCTTTGTCTGCCTGGCAGCAAGTTTAGCACAGTGCTTCGCAAGTTGACAACGACAGTATCAAGCCTTCGAGAGAGAAGTACTGCGCTACTGAGAGGGATGACCCCCACAGTCTTTACTAAAGTGCTCCGGCAACGCAGGCCGAAGCTTCCCGGAAAAGTCAGAAGCCAGCTATCAAAGTCCTCAAGAGCTCTCAGTTCAACTCATTCCCGCTGTCATTCGCAAACATGCAAGATCAGCCAGACGTGGCATTCATCTCAGTTTCACGTGGTTCTCGTGCCTATTTGTCCGGGTCCGTGCAGAAGGTCGAGCACGATTATAGAGACATACCGAAGTATCAAACAACAATGCCCACAGATACACACATACACACATGCGCGCGCGTCGTTATTTCTCTCTCTGTGTCCATCTCTATTCATCTCTCTCTCTCTCTCTCTCTCTCGCTGGCTCGCTCATTCCCTCCCTCCCTCCAAGCATGCATCCGACGCTCTAGCCTAGTGCTTGCCATCCTTTCGTATCGCAAGTCTCCGAGAGCTGTCCATCACATACCGTGTGTTACCTGAGTAGGATGCAGCTGCATGTCTCTCTCCGTGCCAGGATAGGGAACTTACCATCAAGCTTCAGCGGAGCCGCTTCTGCATTAGTTTCCGCACCAGCTTGTGGCATGTGCATAGAGCTGAGACAGATGGGCCCTTTGTGCAGCAAAGGTGGCGGAAGCAGTTTCGAAGGTGGTAACTTTGGTAATAGTGGTGGCAAGTCGTTTGGTTCAGGACTGATGCTGAGCAAATCGTCGGCACATGTTTCCGCGTCTCGACGCGAGACCTGTCATGCCAGCGCATTCCACCAGGAGGGATGGTGGGGTTCGGCAATCCGAATTTTGACAATGCCCCTAAAGACGAGAAGGACAGCGCCGGCACCTTGAAATGAGGTCCTTGCGGAACGTGAGCATGTAGTATTCGAGTATTCGACCTTCAGAGACTCGAGCTAAGGTCTTCAACAAAGCCATGTCCAGCACGATGTCTGCAGTTTCCTACCTGCAATCCAAAGTTACCGGAGCCCCGAACTCAACCCCGTCGTTCCATTCCTCATCTGACAGCACTTACAGACCGCCACCAGTAGGGGGGGGCTTTGGCAGCAGCCAGGGAGGGGGCTGTGGTGGAGGCTGCGGTGGAGGCTATGGTGGCGGCTATGGTGGTGGCTGCGGAAGTGGTGGGGGGAATTATAGCAGCCCCAGCTATGCAGGCGGAGGTGGCTTTAACAGCAACACCCACCATGCAAACCAGGGCCGCCGTTGGGGTCATCATCCACCTAGAGAGGAACCAAAGGAGGAGGAGCAGCCGGAGCCTGCACGAGAAGAGCCTCCAAAGCCACCAGCGCCGATGGTGGACCTTTTGGACATGGATGAGGTCTGATGCTCGGTATTGCTGGCGCTTCACCTCTCCACTTGCTGCAGTGCACATCCAAGGCTGCCGCACCTCAGGCTGCAGCTGTCGGCTCCCTCTTAGAAGATGAGGCTCGGGGTCAAGCATCTCTAGTCTTTCCCGAATCGATCCGCTACCATGCAGGCACCTGCCAGACAACCAGCAGCCTCTGGATCTCAGGACGCGCGTTTCAACCACACAATAGCCATCCGCAGTGTCCATATCCGTACATAAAAGGAGCCGAAAGCTGGATGAAAGTGCTGCAAAGCTTTGCTAGCCTAGGTGAAAGGAATCGTGCCTCGAGGTTCGGAACCACTGAGGCCAAGCCTTCCCCTCCGATGTCCCATTGATAGATGCTGTAGTTGAGGCTTGAATTCCAACTTGAAGCTTGAAGCTCATTGTCGGTTGGCCTAGCCGTCACGCTGCGCAAGGATTTGCTGGGTGGCGAGCTCCTGGGGATGGAGGGCCCTTCTGCCGACGGTGCCTAGAATTCGGTTTTTCTCTGTTCCCCATTTGTGGCCTTAAAGGCCGAAAGCTCGATTTTTGCCTGCAGGTGCTCCCTCGTTGCAGCCTGTCTCTGAGGTCCAGGCCCCACGTGCATCACAGTGTGAATTCAGTATTGTGGTGGCAGAATGTGCGGCCAGGGTGGCTTGTTCTCCGGCTTGGAGGTTTCGGGCACGGGTGGGCCTACCCCTCTTGCTGGTGCAGGCACACAGTTGCCATTCTGCGTAGAACTCCGGTCGACTGACTGCTGTTGCGTTCTGGCAGGTGCCGCAACAGGCAGCACAGCAGCCTGTGCGGGAGGTGGGCTCAGCATCATGGGAGGCGGAGCTGCAGCCGGTCCAATGGGTGCCTGCTCCGCAGCAGCACAGCCACCTGGCAATGCGGGTATGTTAGGTGGTGGCATGATGGGTGGTGGCTCTATGCCGAGCACATCGATGGGCGGGATGATGCCAGGTGCCGGCCAACAAATGCCCTGCATGGGCAGCTGTGGGATGAATGCGCCCATGGGTGGGCCGATGGGCGGCCCCATGGGTGGACCGATGGCGCCTAGCATGGGTTGTGGCATGGCAGGTTGCAACGCCATGGGCATGTGTGGCGGCTGCAACATGATGGGACCGGGCCCCATGGGTTGTGGCCCCATGGGCTGCGGTATGCCAGGTTGTGGTCCTATGGCAGGACAGGGCATGGGTATAAATCCCATGCAGGGTGGTATACAGCAGATGCCGCCCCAGATGCAACAGCAAATGCAGCAGATGCAGCCACAAATGGCGCAACAGCAGATGCAGCATCAAGCTTACATGCCACCCTCTGGTGCACAAGCACCGTACCAAAACGGTAGCGTACCCATGTCAGGGATGAGTCTTGGCCAGATGTCCAGCCCTGCTGGAGGGGGGAGCTCTGCCTTCAGCTTTGTTGGCGGTGGCAGCAGCTTGTCACGGATTAAGCACGCTGGGCAAGTCATTGCAAACCTAGCGGCCAGCACCCACAAATCTATGAACAGAGGCTTTAGATTGATTTGGAATGCTCGAGATTGGCTTAGGCCCAGCAAGCCCACGAATTCGCTCAGCCTACTCAGGTCCGGCACTGGCACCGGTGTCGCAGGCACCGGCAAACGACCTAGCCTTCAGCTTCGTCGCTGACGAGCCACATGTCCGCAAATCCACAACTCTTCAGCTGTCAGGCGGCAAAGACATGTGCAGTGCGTTGAAACACATTATCACCTGGTGTTCAGCACGCTCCAGGATGAAAGGCGCAGGAGCCGTGAGCTGATGACTTTGTGTGACTGCCGCCAAATGTGCAGAAGGCATCACAGTGTTAACACTTGGGGACTCCGTCGCAGGTCTTCAAGAGACCAGCTTCAGGAACAGACCATGCTCATTCACTGGCAGACTACTCATCTGATGTCGCCAAGTGCTGTTGCCCTCGAGCTCAGCACCAGCTATTAGAATTATCAGACACTAGAGAAATCAGAACCCGTGAGTCTGCCAGATGTCTCAACCAGATACAAATCTCACTGAACGTATCTTTTGCACGCTGGCTGTGCTGATTCCATCGCGGCACATTCGGAGAGCAGATTTACCAGGGCTGCAGAGTCATAAGAACAGACAGCCGCACCATGCATCTGCCGCCTCATTACACCGCAGCAAAGATCGACAAGACTCATGTGCAGCGAAGATTCGCGAATTGGCGAGATGTTTGCAGAAAGGTCTTAGCAAATCTCCTGCACCTCGATTTTCGATGCCACGACGGCATATTATGTACATGTTTTGCCGGCAGCAAGAGCCAGGCGGCAAAACGGACAATTTGAGATTGTGTGCGCTCGCGTGCTTTGCATCTCCGAGTGCTTTCACGGGTGCATTAGGTAAAGTCATCGTTGCAGGGGTCGTGAAAGCCCAAGCCGTACCGTGGCGTAGGCCTAGCATGCCTCTCTCCTTGCCCACTTTCCTCCCTCGTGCCTTCTCCCTTCGCTGCTCCCCATCCCTCGCTCTCTCCGTTCCGTTTCGCTTTGCCCTCTGTCTCTGCCTGTCTCCCGCTCCATCACTCACCTCTGTCTCGCATGCTATGCATGTGTTTGTGTGACGGTACTTTCTGAACTGACTGCTGGGACTCAAAAGCGCAAGGCCAGCAGCACGATGCACACCACCGGATACAATGCAGCCACTGGCAGAAATGGAGAGTTTCAGGGCATGTGTGTATCAGCATCGCAAAACTTTGCACGCGACGAGCCAAGGCTCCACTCCTTCCAGCCCTTGCCATCAGTTGCTGCCAGTCGCTGTGACGCTTTGGTCTCAGGCATGTGGCCGTACATGTCCGTGCAACTCTGGCATATCAAATTCCGGAGTCGAACCGATGAAGTTCTGTAAGGTGAGCCTGCAGACGCCAGAGAGGGCCACGCTGGCTGCAGCAATGCAGCAGTCATCGTGCCATTGCGCTCTCGTCCAAGGATAATGCATGTGTGAGAGAGTCGACGGCTACGAGGTACTCGGACACGCTCAAGTCCCTCGTCGTAGAGAAGGACTCCACGGCAAGCTTGCCTAATGCGCAACCGCACGTCAGTTTAGTTAAGCTACCTGGTCCAAAGCACAGGCTCGTGCAATAATAGTTAAGGTGGGCAGGAGGGGGGCCACCCAGGTGGCTGCATCATCGGATACTGTATGGTGGGGAGGGGGCGCCCCCTTGAGGTGCCCCCTACCTGAAGGTCCCTTGTCCAACGTGTTTAGACTGTCTCTGTGCAGTGCATACGTATTGTCTTGTCCCAACATTCTCGACCCTACAAGATCTGCACTAGTATCTAGCATCAGTTTCAATTGCAATTGGAAGCATGGCGATCTGCGTGTAGAGTGACTTCAAAGATATGTTGCTTATTACCTACGCATCGGCCTCGCAGTTAGGCTTTCTGATAAGCTACGGTGAGCCATGGCGAACCTTGCAGTTGCACAACGACAGCTGCTCCGTGTTGCGGCTTTTGCGGCGCCCGTTTAGGATTGTGTGGGGTGTATGGGCCCGGCGCAGATGCCAACCAGCTTTCTGCTGCTTGGTTGAAATTCGCCACAAAGAGGCAGAAAGCTGGTTGGCATGTGGGCCAGCAAAACTTCTGACTTGTGTATAATTCCGCCAAGCTCGAGCGATTCGCAGTGCTGTCCTGCAATAGATTCGCTTGATGAGTTGTCCCACCCTTCTCGTGTACGCTTCCCCGAGGCCCTGGCCCTAGCTTTGTTTGCCCTGTTCTCAAGCCTTCTCAGGATCGTTCGGATGCCGAGTTTGTGCCGGGAGCCTGGCCGGGGGCTGCTTTCTTTAGTTCAAGGCTTAGCATGATTCCGACAGTACAGAGCGATCGAGGCCGCTGAGCCAAAGCTAGCACTCGTAGCTGAAACTGTTCCGGTCTCATGAAGAGAATAAGCCGGTGCCGGGAATGCGAGGCTCGAGCTCCTGGAGTCCGCGGGCTGCAATGCGGAGGTAGCCATATCTACGAGCTTAGACTTATGAACTGGCACGACATTTCACAGCGAGGCGCTGCCCGTTGAAGAGCATGTCCCCCAGCGTTTCGGAGTATAAGGGCGACAACTGTTGATGAAAACCAGCCTCTGAATATTGTCACCGAAGGCGGCGGCTCGAATTGAAGCCAGATCTGGAAGGCCGGCTGAGGGAACGCCAGCGAAATATTCGCAATTGGCATTTGGGTTATCCTCCACGAGTATCGCCAAAGCGTACGTTTGCGAACTCCGAGCTGAGCCGATCGCAGAAGCCGCGGAAGTGGAGCCCTGCATGCCCTGGCCGGCCATCTCCATCCTTTTCCCATTCATTGATCTCTCTTCCTGGGCGTGACGGGGGTCGTGCCTCCGATGTGGCGTTTGCGTAGCCGTGAGAGTCGCTGGCCCTGCACCAGAGCCCAAAAGCCGCAGAATGTCCACTGACGTCTAAATCTTCCTGAGCATCCATGCGTGCTGGAGTCGGAATGTCGTTGCCAGCATCGCTCCATGTCCCCAGGTTCGGAGGTTGCCCCGTTTGTGGACCTTACCTCGTTTGCCGCGCCATGTCATGCTTGCCACATCATCATCGGCATTGTCATCATCATCATCATCATCGTACGCTGGTGGCAGCAGTGCTGCTGATACCTGTCGCTGTCGCCATTGCTGAAAGTTTCGCCATCACGATGGTGGTGCGGGGGACGGTGGCAGTGACAGTTACTTGCGTTCAGCCTTATCGGCCTCCTGTTGTTTGCAGCACGTATGAAACCGTGAAGCACCATTTGGCTGACAGGCTGCCCTGGAGGCCGCATGGCAACTCGAGTGTCCAGCTTAATCATCTGGGAGATCTTGATACCAGTATGGGGTTTCACAGGCACGGGCGAGATTCGAGCATCAGCATGGCCTATATGACCGCTGCAAGGTGGGAAGACATTGGCAAAGCCGTCTTTTCGAAGCATGGCTTCCGAACCCACAGCAGCCCGAAGCCCACGCGACAGCTTGCTGCAGAGATTTCGGCATGAATGCAGGCTATGCTTCTGATGCGAGCGTCATGTTTGACTCAAAGCCCAGGCGAGCATGCATTTCGAGGAGCGCGCTGCAGGCCATACCAGGGCCGTTCTTGAGGAAGGTATGAGACGAACTTGACCGTCGTTTGTGAGATCTCTTGGTCAAGAAGTGGTGGAGATGCTTCGACCACAGTGCTTGGCGTGCAGCACTTCGCGTTTCTGCATCATGTCCGTAACTGCTCCAGGTCACCATACTGGCAGAAGGCTCAAACCCATTGCACTGAGCCCGGCATCCGCAAGCAGATATGTGGGGGAGACTTGTGGTTGCTGTGGCCGTTGCTGGCCGAGGCTCGTGGATGCCATCCCGCTTCATCGAGGCCACCCTTCCCCGTACTGCAGCTATGCAGATCTGCACAACTTATCGCTGTTACTCATAGGCAGCTCGACCTCCCTGAAACCGGGAGCGGAGATCACCTTCAGATACGAGATGCATGTTGGGAACTGGGCTTCCTTGTAGACAAGAACCCATGCGAGACAGAGGGACTTTAACAAAGGTCCGGGCCCGAGAAAGCGGTCACGCAGACCTGTGGCCAAGGTGTTGCTGCGGTTGCGCTTCGCAGCGCAGTCCCTGGTCCGTCTCTGCATGCACTTCTTGGGTCGATCTGGGCACTACCGGATCACAGCCCAGTTGGACGTATGTTGAAAGTCTTCGAAGCAGAGAGGTGGTTGAGAATTGGCTGCCCCAGCCTCCGCAGCGGAAGGCTCAGTTTTGGACTGGATCACCTTTGAAGCCACAAGACAACATGTGCACGTTCCTGACATTGGGCGCATTGGTGTCAATGAGGCAGCTTCCGGCACAAACGGAAGCTCTCAGAGTCATGAGCCGAGGAAGGGATGCGGCTCCCAGCGTGTTCCTCAAAAATCCCGCAAAGGCTCGGCAAGATGGTTCCAAGGTTCCGCCAGGCAGACGGGTGCAAAGCCAGCCATTAAGTTAAGCAGCCTTTTCTTGCCTAATGGTATGAGAGGCCGCATGGAAGGAAGCTACATTAGTTCCCACCGCAGCCACTGTTCTTCTCCAAACCATCATGCTAGGGGGAGCAGGCCATCACATGCAGGGCTGGCTTGCTGAGAATTCACCGGCTCCACGAAGATGCCAAAGCATTGCAACATTGATGCACGAAACCGCTACACATCGAGAATCCGACAGTGCAAGCAGTGGCAAGAAGCCGCTTGGCTATTTAGCCGCCTGGCCCCAAACACTCTACAGGCGGATGAAGTTTCCTATGGGTCTTTGATTTCTGCATGTGGCAAAGGAGGCCAGTGGACCATGGCCACAACTTCGCTCAGAACCGCTCGCTTACAGGGCCTGCAAGAGGACATCATTTCTCACAACTCTGCGATAAGTACGTGTGGCAAGGAACTGGAATGGAAGGCCGCCATAGGCCAGCTTGTAGCTGTGGAGTTGAGGCAGCTTAAGGCAGACAGGATATCTTTCAATTCTGCCATCGGTGCATGCGGCCAAGCCGCTCATTGGGAAAGCGCTGTTTCTTTGATGGACAGGCTTGGTTGCAAATTACAGGCAAACGTCATCACAATGAATTCCGTTATCAGTGCATGTGCCGAGCCGGGCCAGTGGCAAGCAGCTTTCGTCATCCTTGCACACCTTGAATTTGGACAGATACAGGCTGACATCATCTCCCACAATTCGTGCATGAACTCGTGCAGCAAGGCAAGCCAGTGGCAACTTGCCTTAGGCATCCTGCGGGGGCTGCCGGTCGTGGGGCTGCAAGCCAACGTCATCTCTTACGTGTCGGTCATGGATGCATGTGACAGGAGCTTCAAATGGGAAGAAGCCATAGCTCTGCTGGAGGAACTAACCGCGAGCAACCTGAAAGCTGAGACAATGTGTTTTAACTCAAGCATTAGCGCATGCGCAAAGGCACACCAGTGGCAGGTGGCTCTGGAACTAACACGAACACTTGAAGATTCCGGGCTTCGAACGAACACGATCTCGTTTAACTCTGTGATGAGTGCCACTGGTGATGCAAGTCTCTGGCAGATGGTTTTGTCCTTCATGCCGATGCTTTCGCAAAGGCAGCTGATGCCTGACATCGTTTCCTACAATTGTTGCATGAACGCATGTGGACGGGCAGTTCAGTGGCAGCTGGCAATACACTTTCTCGCCAAGCTCGAGAGGGCAAGGCTCCAGGCGACTGAAATATCCTTCGCTTCGGCTATCAGCGCCTGTGAATATGGCCTGAAGTGGCAGATGGCTGTTTGTCTACTTAGTCTCATGGATGTGCGGCGGGTTTTAGCAAACTTGGTCGTGCTAAATTCTGCGATGAATGTCTGCAGCCACGCAGGGAGCTGGCAAGCAGCACTGTCGCTTCTAGCTGAGATTCGGCAGCGGCACCTGGAGCCGGACCTGATCTCCTTCAACTCTGCCATTGCTGCCTGTGGCACCACAGCTCACTGGCAAGTGGCAGTGTGCTTGATGATTGAGATTCGAGAGAATCGGCTGCATGCAGATGAGGTCTCGTACAACACGTTGACGCTGGTCTGCGCAGCCCGAGGAGGCAAGGGAGGACAGTGGCACATGGCTTTGTTTCTCTTGGTTTTGATGGAAAGCCGGAGCATTGTGGTCAAGAAGAAGACCTTCGAATCCGTCATTGATGCCTGCATTTGGGCGGGGCAGCGGGCAATGGCAATTCTCCTGACGGACGATTTGGAGACCAAAGCGAGACACCTGTTGACAAAGGGGGTGGACAGCATGTCAGAGGGTAGCTCATGCAATCGCTCAATGTCGAGAGGGGGCGAGTCATCCTGCGTGCCTTCCTAGAGCAAGGGAATCCTCCCATGCTGTTGACAAGTTGCGTCTTTGTTTGTGTCTGTGTTTCGTGTCAGGCGCATGTGTCCCTGCCGAAGCCGTGGACAGGTGCCTTTCGCCATACTTGAGCGGAATATGTATCAATGTAGCTCCGAGTGATTGTCTGCACATTGCGACTGCAGAGGCTAGCAGGCGTGTCGGGCGACACCGAGCAGGCACGCAGACACCAGGAAGTGGGCTCGGTGCCTCGATCAGCTGTTGAGCGGCCATTTGCCGAATGCCTGAGCGACTGCATATGCTTGTCGAAGCACTCGCGGGATCCTTTCTTGACGACAGTAAGTGCAGAACGGAGGAAAGGGTGGGGGGATTCCAAAGTCCAACCGTGAGATGGAGGCCATGTCGACAGAAGAAAGGAAGGCCAACATTATAGCTAACATTGCAGAGATGAGTCGACCGGTGCTGAATCAAACAACCAGTGGCAAGGATGTCCTCTGCATTCCTCGGGTCGCAGCAGCAACTCGGCTATTCCCACACGTCGGGAAGTAGAAGCAAACCAACCGAACCCGCAACGACAGCCATGACTTCTCAACCCTCTTCCTACGGCAACGGCAACGATCAGCTACCCCTTCCAGGGACGCAGGATCTGTGTCATAGTGTTGTAGTAACTGCTGCACATCGTTGGTGCCTGATTTGTAACATCCTGAAGCAAGCTTGGCGCGTCCCCGGCCCCGGATCCCATAGTTGTCGTCCCAGAGTGTGTGCCTTTGAATTGAAGGCCTGCACGTCCGAAAACACGGTCTTCCAACTGACCTGCAAGAGAGCAAAGGCAGCGGCCGCACGGAGCGACACTTGCACCTATTTGCTGCTGCCTATTGCTGCCTATTGCTGCCTGGTGCCAGCGCCAGGGATTGACCGAAGAGTACTTAGCAGTGAAGGCCTCAGACGTTGTTCAGGAAATGCGCGCTTATTAAAGCGATGCGTGACGTGCTGAGTTGCGAGTCCGCTGTTGGGCAAGAATGGGCAAGGCTGCTTCCGGAAGCGGGGCTTACGTCTGCAAAAAGCCTTCAGGTCAAGACGCCTCCAGCTGCTCCGCCCTCCCCCTCCTGCCTGGCCTATCTCGACTGCGCCATGGCCCGACTAATGGAATGCGGTGACAGCGCCGAACCTGAAGCGGAAGTGCTGATGGAATCAGCCGAACCAGATGCACGAGCCCCACGAGCATCAACACGGACCTGGGCCGTCTCTGCACTACTCCTCGTCGCTCTTGTTGCAGCAGGTCTCCTTTACAACGTCTCCGGGCACCCCTTCACCTTGAGGGGTGCTCCGGAGCAAGTCCTTGGCTTCAGCGGCGATGGGAGCTTCACTTGTGGCCAAATGAAATGCACACCCGGCTCGATCTGCTGTGGTGGAACCGAGTGCTGCTCTGCCGGCTCAGAATGCTGCGGAGGGACCTGTCTTGCCGCTGGCGGAATCTGCTGCCGCAATCGCACAGACACACCTCTGCTCTGCACTCCTGGAACACATTGCTGTGGCAAGGAGACAGACACGGCCCAATGTTGTACAACTGGTTGTGCAGATGGTCCTTTCGTGGCGTGCAAGCTTCAAACGTAGGTGACACTGTGGCACTTGCAAATCAAAATGAACGAAGTCTGCACTCAATGTAGTGCTTGCTTCTCGCCAGACTTCTGTCAGTTGCCACTCCACTGGCAGCCATACTGTTTCTAAAGCTTGTATTCTGGGCATAGGTTGGAACAAGACAGTCCCACTACAGCAAGAATTCATTGACCACTGGGCTGCCGCTCTCTGCTGCCGCGAACGCCCGGCAGATGGGAGAGCAGCCTGGGGTACTTGGACTTCCGTCACTTGCGCGTCCTCGAAGCAAAACTTGCAGGACGCATGGGAAGCAGGGAGCGGCTGACTTGTTTCGGGCTGATCCGACTGTGGCCGCTTGTTCCTGAGGCCTTGCCCAGCTCACTGCGAAACGTCAATGTGCCTGACACTCAGAAGAGAATGAGGCATTCTGGCGTTTGCTGGCTAACATCCCAGTCGGTTGCCAGAGTCGCTCGGATTTGGCAGGGAAATCTGCAGCACGCAGCCAGACCACATTCCCTGATTGGAAGTGGAATTGGTGCTGTGTGCTTTGCTGCTGCTTCTAGCAACTGAGGCATGTAGGCCGCAACTTTATCGGACGACATTATCAGCAACTCTTTGAGGCACAGGGTGCCCTTTCAGAGACCGGGGCGGTGAGGGAACCCAGCCATTTCACGAAAGCTCGCGTAGCAGAGCTTGAGTTGAGTCTTGCTTTTAGCAGGGAGGCAGTCCAGGGCGAGAAACCAGCGTATTATTGATAGTATCAATT